GGGCGGTTTACAATTTTTAATTATACAGGCTACACATTGCCCCCCCAGCAAGCTGGGTACTCATTTTACCGACCTCGGAAGGATGGAAGGCTGAGTCAACCTTGAGCCGGCTACCTGGGATTTGAACCCGAGGTCGTGAGCACAGCTTTAGCTGCAGTACAGCGTTTTAACCACTGCGCCACGAGGCTCTTAGCAGTTCGAAAGCATGTAAAAATGCGAGTAGATAAATAGGTACAGTGGTGCCTTGCATAACGAGCGCACCATATAACGACGAATCTGCATAGCGATCCCTTTTCCGGGATCGCTAATGTGGAGGCATCGCGTTGGCCCCAATGGGCAAAACTCGCATAGCGAAGATCAGTAAGCGTTTCACTTACCGATCTTCACTTTGCGACGCCGCGGATCAGCTGTTCGGCGGTTCCAAAATGGCCGCCGGAAGCCCCAAAATGGCCACGCGCAGCATTTTCGCGGCCTCCCCTCGCTTACCAAGGGCGCAGAAATGGCTGCCGGACCCAGGAAACTTCGCTAAACGGTGAGTTTTCAGCCGATTTGGAACGCATTAAACGATGTTTAATGCATTCCAATGGCTTTTTACTTTCCTTTTAACGAAGTTTTCACATAGCGAAGGTTAATCCAGAACGGATTAACCTCACTATGTGAGGCACCACTGTACCACCACGGTGGGAAGGTCACGGTGTTTTGTGTCTAGTCGTGCTGGCCACGTGACCACGGAAACAGTCTTCAGACAAACGCTCTACGGGAATGAGGACCGCGCCCTAGAGCCGGACACGACTGGACTAAACGTCAAGGGGAACCTTTACCTGTACCTTTAGGCCCAGTGGAACTTACAGAGAAGTTGACTTACCAAAACCCCATTGATACAGGGGGCCTACTATAGCGTGATTTCCTACCTAAAGATTTTGGCCTCTGAGTCATGGGATGAAACAGACCTGAATTATACTGAATAAATTGCAGCAGATCATAATTTTGGCCTGTCCAATTCAGAACGGCCTGTACCTCTGGCTGGAGATCCAGGCTTCCCCAGAAGATGAAACCTGATCTTTGTAGGCCCTATTCTTTGTATCGGCTCTACAACCTACTCTACCATTGACCTATGACCATTGCTCATTCTAGTCCTCATGATTCTGAAGAAAACTGGCCCAGACCAGCCCGCTCATGATTCCCATGTGAAGAAGAAACACAGGAACCTGTGAAGTCTTTGGCCCCCCAGAAGACTTCCAACGTTTGGAAAGAATGCCTTCAGAAGGACATGAGGCTTTGGGGCATCCCTTGTTTCCTCGGAGTTTGGAAACACCAAATACTGCTTAAACACTTTGGGGACTCCAGACAACATCTTAGTTTCCTGTGACGGAGTCCTCGCTAACTGAATTTAAGCAATCCTGCTCCAGATTGAGCTGTCCGTGGTCCTGAAGAAGGACAACTCTTGAAGGGGAGGTCTCTGGCTTGCGAGACGATCCCATTGCTTCCTTCCCAAGGCCAACTGTAATTAGCTTTATTCCATTCATATCCTCTTCCTCGTTGGCATGACCTGTTGACTTAACGGCCTGCCCTGTCTGTGTTTCTAGCCCGCCCAGGAGGGACCCTCTCACCTTCAGGAATGAAAATGTTGGCTACGATGGTTAAGCCAGCCAGCATGAGTGTGACCGCTTGGGTAAATCTCCGCCCGACGTAGCTGAGGGAGAGGGCCGAGAGGAACTTGGATGGGAAGTCCACCAGGCTGAAAACCACCTGCATGAAGTAGATGCTGACCCCAAAGTTCTGCAGATCCATGACCAGCCCATAATAGGCAAAGCTGGTAGAGAACCTAAGAAAGGAAGATAGCATCGCAATAGGTCAAATTAGGGCAAATTAGTTTTCTATTACTCCAGAGGGTGGGACCGGAACTGATGGGGTTAATGACAAAAAAGGAGGTTCTCATGAAACATTAGAAATGACTTCTCAACCATATCAAGAAATAGACTGTTCCGAAGCTTCAGGATCTGTCCTTCCAGTGAGCACTTAGGGTTGATTTCCTTCAAAATGGATAGGTTTGTTCTCCTCGCAGTCCAGGGGACTCTCAAGAGTCTCCTCCAGCACCACAAATAATTACACAACAATCCTTTGCTTTTCAAGCTCTTGATAAAATAGGAGTGTTGTGCTGAGACACAATGGGGGGTGGGAAAATCCTGAGACAGGAAGACCTGCAAGTGTACAGGATTCCACCCCTGGCCCCTTTCCCAGGTCATTCATAGTCACGAAGACTGGAGTCTTTACTGCATTTCAAACTATGGAGGCAGTTGAGACATCACTATAAAGTGGACCCACTGAAGCCCAGTCCACGGTACGTGGACCCTCAGCCACCCACGAGCGTCTCCGGACTCACCACACAAAGCAGAGGCAGCAGGAAATCCGGCGCATGATGGGCGTCCTCACCAAATCTAGGCAGAAGTAGCTTGATTTCTGAGCGGCCATTTCTTTCTTCATCTCGGATCTTAAGAACTAGGGAAGAAGGGGGACATGCAGGAAAGGTGTTAAGGGGGAAACAAGATCCATAACTATCTTGCCCCTTTTGTTCTAGGGTCTGCCCATCATCCTTCACCATACACTGTGTTGGATGTTGAAGCCCAATAGCCATTGAAGGCCACTGGTTCCCTGCTTTGGGCATTATGGCCACAAAAATGGAAGGGTCACTTTAAGGACAATGTCTCCTGTTAAAGCAACATTTTTTCGATGCATGCAGTTGTGCACCCTTGAAGCCGTCTGACTGCTCCCCAAACATCTGGATTTTCTGCTCTTGCGCCCAGCGCTAAATTCCGTAAGTTTATAGTCTGGGTACATCAGCATAAAATAGCCTGCTGGTGGCTATTCTGAGAAGCCGGTGTGGAATGGCTCAATCATGGTCTCACAGTCTTGCCTACCTTAGAGGGCTCTTCTGAGGATAAATGGGGGGAGACTCATCATGACTTGATGCATTCTATGGGTTTCTTGGAAGAGAACATGACAGAATCATAGAATCACTGAGATGGAAGGCAGCCTATAAGGACACTGAGTCCCCCCTGAGTCTAATTTTCTCTTCAAGTCTCCAGTGCTGGAGCCCTCACCGTCTCCCAAGATGATGGGCTCCCTTGTCGTACTGCTCTAACAGTTAAGAAGTTTTTTTTTCCTGATATTCAGCCTAAAATCTGGCTTCCTGCAGCTCGAGCGCATGATTACAGATCCGTTTACTCTGGGATGACCGAGAACAGATCAGAGCGATGGTCAAGAAGAGAGATGGAAAGATGGCGACACCGGAGAGAAATGAAATCGGCCAAGTCTTGGGGCTTTGGGTGGGCACAGAAAAGCCACCAATTGCTCGTTGGTTGTTCTGATTGGGTTGTATTATTTTTATTCTTGCTGCGGGGCACTTGTGAGATGGTCTGCCTCGGATGTCGAAAGGTCACGTCCAGTCTCGGGTGACCTGAATGCCCCATTTTGGTTTCCACTTCCAGGTGGCAACACAACCCTTGGGTGAATGAGAATTACAGTTGTGCCCCGCTTAACGATTACCCCACATTACGACGAATCCACTTCACGACAGTGTTTTTGTTATCGCAATTGCGATTGCAAAATGATGTTTTTTCGCTTTGCGAAGATTGGTTCCCTGCTTTGGGAACCGATCCTTCGCATTACGACGATCAAAACAGCTGATCGTTGAGTGCTCAAAATGGCCGCCGGGTCCTCAAAATGGCTCCCCGCTGTGCTTGGGGATGGATTCCTCGCTATATAGGCACCGAAAATGGCCACTGTATGGAGGATCTTTGCTGGACGGTGAGTTTTTACCCCACTGGAATGCATTAACCGAGTTTTAATGCGTTTCAATGGTTTTTTTATTTTCGCTTTACGACGTTTTCGCTTTACAGCGATTTCGCTGGAACGAATTAACGTCGTTAAGCGAGGCACCACTGTATTACATAAAATCTGTGATTCTTTCAGTGTCACCTCAATGGTCAGCTTGTCTCCAGCTTCAGGCTTCCCGTTCATCCTGGCCACCCGCTTGAGTGCTTTCACCGCTTGGTCCGGCTTACCAGCCATCACCAGCCAGCGAGCCGATTCGGCAAACCACCTGAAGGGAGAAAAAGAGGATAAAGTCTGAGGGAAACGAAACTAGTCAAGTCTTGGGCGAAGTCTCCGTAAACGCCTGTTGCTTGGCCAGTTCTTCAGCTGGTGGTGGTGATGGGGGGGCTGGAGGAGATGATAATGACCCCCCCTTGCTGGAAGGTGGGCTTACGCAGTTGCCTAGATGGTTACACCTGCCTGTTTTGAATGTGTTTCTGGTATTGTTTGTCTTTACTGTTTTTTAGTACGGGATTTATTCCATCTTTTCCAGTATTTGTATACATACTGTTCTTAGCTTTAAATATTATCTTTTAATGATATAAGCCATGTTGGATCCTTTTTAAGGAGAAAGGCAGAGTAAAACATTTTCTGCGAAGGCCGTTCCTTGATGTGATCCTTAAGGAATTGTCTGATGCTGAGTGATTAAACCAGGACAAATTAAATGATGGAGGTCATATATCCACAGGACAGTATAATAGCCATTCAATACCAATTTAATTGCCACAGCTCCATCCTCGGATTTGTGGCTGGAAATTCATAGAGCTGGAGTTTTTGCAACTTGCATGCTGCCTTTAGTAGGTCTGGATGGGAGGAACCTTTCTGGGATGGGAGGAACCTTTCTAGGCTGGGTTGACTGTCAATCCATCCAGCACTAACCAATCATTCCGGCCTGCCTCTGAATTCAAAGAGAGCCCCGCCTCTCTGGTGAGGAGTCTCTTTCCCTTTTTAGAGCCCATTGAGGTTGACCCCTAACCGTCTCCACCCGTCCGATCGTGTAAGGGTTTTACCAGGAGTAGGCAAAGAAGAGAAAATAAGGCGCAGAGACCACAAGCTGCAGTTGACGCCATTCAGGGACGAGGTAGGCGAAGCCGGCCAAGAGGAGCTGGCCGAGGGTGTAGGCGAATCCTGTCCACGTTCCCAGGATGGCCCGTGTTCGGGTGGGCGTCCATTCCACAGCTGGTGGAGAGGGGAGGAGGCAGAGTGGATTAATATGATCCTGGTTGAGGATCTGGGGATTCAAAGCCAAACTTTTAAAAATTAAGAATGAAAATTCCTGAGGTTTTGATTCAACACAGATCTGATTATAATTAATTCTTCTCCAAAATTATGTGCATTTCTACACCTCTCCCGATCCCCTACTTCCATCTGTACCAAACAGAAGCCCATTATGGGGGCAGCATTTTCCTGTGGCTGTTCTCAAACATCTGGGATTCAAAGGTAGACTTCCTTTGAAGATGGAGGATCCATTTACCTATTGCTATGGCCGGAGCTTTCTCCCTCTTCCCTGAACTTGCCTAATATCCTGTGAACTTTTTCATCCTCCTTGCCCTCAAGAACCTCTCCCTGTGGCAGTAAGGATGGATAAATCTGCCAGTTTTAGTTTTACTACCGTAATTTTCCTCAGTGTTGATTTTGGGATAAGTTGAAGTTAAGCTTTGCCAGAAGTTTGTACCAGAATCCACGTTTGTTAAGTATTTCTGTTATTTGCCTTTACATGACATTTTGCTGAAATCTTTCTTTCTTTCTTTCTTTCTTTCTTTCTTTCTTTCTTTCTTTCTTTCTTTCTTTCTTTCTTTCTTTCTTCCTTCCTTCCTTCCTTCCTTCCTTCCTTCCTTCCTTCCTTCCTTCCTTCCTTCCTTCCATTCTCTTTCTTTTATTCACTCGCTCG